GTTAATTGCAACAATTTATTCAGATAAAAATGTCATACTTGCTATAATAAGTTTCTTTCTTTTAGAAGAAAGATTGTAGCACACTGTTAATCAGCTGATTTACAAAGTATTCTTGAACATTTGAACTTCACGTTTCCTGTAAATGTTGAGGTGCCATGTGCTTAGCAACCACATCTAGCACAATGCGGCTCGTGGTGGAAATAATGACACACTGGTTGCCAGGCCCTTATGACGTTTGTGAGATTCACTTCTTTCTTTAACTTCTTTCTCAACACCATGACTGTGCAGTCAAACTGAAATGCATCACAAGTCCTCATAGTGTGCATTTCCTGAATTTTCTTTCACAAGTGAGCACTAAATGTTAAAATAGTTATTGCCCCAATTGTGTCAGCAGTGTGTGATTTGGAAATAAAGGGTTTTCAAATTCCAGGTCAGGTCTCTCAGGAGTTAGTCCAGTGATGTGGGTGTCGATTATAGCTCCAGCTGAACATCCCAGTTCACTGTCACATGGCTGAACTGTTGGCAACCGTCCCCCATGGTGTTCCAGTTGTAGCTTCACACACAAGAAGTTCCTGTTATCGTCTCATTGACTTATGCCAGAAAAACAAAAGCAAATAAAAGGCAACAGGCTCTGGGAAATCGCTCGTGAATTCATCACATCTCTCCTTTTGTTGGGTCGAAAGCTTTCCTCCTCTGCTCCCCCTCCTCATCTAACCCTGAGAGGGGCAGAATTTGCCCTTGCCCCGTCAATAGGCCACAGTGTGGAGAAATGTAAACAGCCTGTTGGAGCGGTGCCCAGGGTTGAAAAGTTTGCTAGTCATTTGCTGGCGAGGCCAACGACAAACAATGCCAGAAAGTACGTCATAAAGTCAGGAATCAAATAATTTATTCAAAGAGTCTTCTTGGCAATGTTCTATGGGCTACTATTAAGAAGGTCTACTGTTGTATGATAAATGAACAATTTATAGATAATGATCTATTCCAGTAGCAAGAAGTACATAACTCCAGTACTGTACTTGTATTTGAGGAACTTATTTTTTACTTAAGTTTTCCGCTTTATGAAACTTTGTACTTCTATTCTACTACATTTCAGAGAAAAACTAAATAGACAACTTTTACTCCAATGCATTTATAAAAGCTACGACTACTTAAGATATTCCGCAGTAAACAAATTATTTGCTCATAAATAAAATATTCATCAACATGATAGAAAGAAGTTAAAATCAGCTCCACCTTGACAAGCTACACTATTCAAGTACACTTATTCATGAATCATAAATAATCAAATGGAAAGTGTTTTAAAGGTATTAGTGTGATCTGCTTTTAGTTCTTCCCAGAAGACAGCTGTGACACTGATCATGCTCTCAGCCATAAATAGACTCCATGCAATATTATATTAGGGGAGGAACTCCGAGTAATGCATGTGCCCGGCATGTTATGCTGGATTTCACTGCCAACTATCATTGAAATATTTCACACTTCAGATTATAAATGTCAATCCTCCATTTATATCACCTGTTTACAAACTGCTTCTGTTAAAGGGTGGAGACCGATTGGGTCAGCCCTGCAAATACAATACAATAGTGTAGACAGTTACTACTGTGCATGCCATGGAAAAGAAAGAAAGAAGAAGAAGAGTTTCTTTATTCAGCACTTCCTGCTCAGCAGTAGATGACTCATTAATAATTACACAAATATCATGTTCTTCCCTGTAAACTTACAGTAATGCTCTTTGGTAAAGTTTCTCAATCAGTATGATGACAAATATCTCTGATGATGGTGTAAACATGTTCAAAGAATTCATGGCCTCACTTCACAAGGTACAGGTAACACAGGTTCACAGGTAAGGTGTTAGGTTAAGAATTAGTTGATAACAATGTTTCCACTATGGGGTTTTGTGGTTTCTCATCAGTGGTGGTCTGATACTTCCCATAACTCACAGAAAGGAGACAAAGAACAGAGAGAGAGAGAGAGAGAGAGAGAGAGAGAGAGAGAGAGAATTACATTTCAACACACGTGTTGAAATGTAATTGTATCACTGTATATATATATCATCAATAATATGTAAACATTTGAAATATATGTTAATGTTGTTAATTATTTTGTATTGTGATGCTTTGGCAACATTGTTTAATTTAACTTTCATGCCAATAAAGCCCCATTGAATTGAATTGAGAGAGAGAGAGAGAGAGAGAGAGAGAGAGAGAGAGAGAGAGAGAGAGAGAGAGAGAGAGAGAGAGAGAGAGAACCAGGAAATTGTAACTGATGATTGGTAATTACACAGAAGTGGTGTGGCTCAACCAACACAGAAGTTGTACAGTACTATGATGACCTAAAGGTAGGAAGGTAGAAGTAGGAAGTCAATCTATTATATATGATAGAAGGCTAACAGGAATTAGATTGGCCGATATACCAGGAACCTACGTAACTCAGATAATCCGTTATAGTTCCACCTTATTGAGATATCACTCTATGATTAATACTGTTGCAACAACATAGGTTCCTCTTTCATACCTTTCTTTAATTCAGAATTCACGGTTCCAGTAAAAGACTGCTTTGTATTCTTTGTTTAACCTACCTATAATGGCAGATGATATTCGGCTCACTCATTCAGCAAGCAATAAGCGGCGCCTTTGTAAATGCCAACACCACAAACAATGTAACATGATTGAGCTTTTAAAAGACCTCCCTACTCAGTAAAAATCTGCTTGGCCAAACAGTTTCAAAATATTTAGTTAAATAACAGTTTTCTACTCTTTACCCCTGTTTCCAGGAGAGAGCCCAGCTTTTTTTTCCTCGTCCCCAGTGCGTTTACGGGAACCATGAGCTAGAGTATATTTCTGAGTCAGTGTGGGCAAACCTAAACAGCTGCCTTTTCCACTAAACAGTGGATTAGACCAACATGCTATCATGCGAGGCCTTGTCTCTTCCACTCAAAAAAGGTTACATTCATTGACTTTGCATGTGAGTTAGAACTCATTTGCTGCTTGTGTCATGCCTGGAGAATTAGGAGGATAAACATTTGAGAAGGGCTGTTTTACGTTTCTTAATTTAGCTTCTAACAACCTACTAGAATTGACACATGCAGGAAAACACACACAGAAACACATTTTTCATTGCCAAGCCTCACACCCTGAGCCTCAGAGCAACAGAGTGGAAAGCTTTCTCGCATCCAGCTCTCTTGGTCCTTCATCCGCCTTGCCTGACCCACCATTTGAGTGTTGACCTCTGGTATACACACTGTCTCCTATTGTTTATTTATTTGTATTTATTTATTCTTATATAACAAGTGTTGACGTCTGTAGGCACTTACAGGACTTTTCCCCAGCATCTTCCTCCACACTATGCTTAAAAGTCCTTTTTTCCAACTCTTTTAAAAGAGTCACTATACATGCTAAAAAGCCAAGTCAGCATGCTATAATAATTGTGGTTTCTATGGGAACATGGTGATCTAAAAAATGAATGAGGGGGGGGGCTCTCACGCCTTTCCTCCTTTTATTAACACGTATCATGGTCCCAGAGGAGAATTTTGAATGCTAAATACATGCCTCACAATGATGACACAATAGATTTTCTGGAAACAAGTAGAGCTTTACGAGGCCATCCCAGTGATGCCCTTCCCCCCCTATCCTGCTCTGAATCAGACAACACCTGACTCACCTCTGTAGACACAGCTGGCTTTTACCTAAACCCATCAGGCTCTGTGGCGTCAATCCGTTACCCATAACCTCCTCCCTCTGTCCATCTCTTGGCCCCAGGTTTGGTAAAATGAACACCACAAAAACTATGCTTTCTGCTGAGAAGTTTCAGAGGTATTTCTGCCTGACTTGAAGTTACAGGCCGTCTGCTATTTGATGAGTATTCGTGAGCTGGTTAAAGCCCAGCAATGCCTGACATGACACTATAGCCTGGAGTTAGTCTATAGCACAATAACCACCTGAGGCTAATATGATCATAGCTGAGTCAGCAAGCCAGGCGCCGATATGGATGGAATGAGCAGCCTATCAGTCACATGTTGCCAAAGATAAGTCTGTCTTCACATCAGGATTGGAGTCATCTTCCTTAAGACAGCCTAATGCTGATTACCAGATTTTTGTAAAGCTGATAAAGATAGTTTTGGGAAGTGAAGGTCCAGGATGAGTTAGATTCACGACGGGAAGTATGCAAATTAGATCTTTAATAAATAGGATTAAAATAAAAACTAAAAGTGGAAGAGGAATACTACTTTTTTGAACCTATTTTTTGCTTTTTAGTTAAATGTTTCAGTTCTGGGTGGATTAGGCTACTATAAGACACAGTCATTCAACATGACGGATACAATAATATAATAAATAGTTTGTAACATTGTGTTTTTGTTTGTTTATGTGTACAAAATGATGTTTCATTTTGAGTGAGCCTTTACCAGATTTGAATGTGGACCAGGAAACAATAATTCAATATGCCCATAATTACTGCAGAGATAAATAGAAACAACAATTCACAACATGGAGTATTTAATCATACGTTGCCGCTGGATACCAGCTGTTTATAATGGAAATGTAAGGCTTATGAATCTGGCGCCCTCTTTGGAGAAGTGCTGCTCAGCATGTGAGCCACTATTACTGAGAATTTCTCAGAAACCGACTGCACAATGCTGATGTGAATCATTACCTCATTGACGCGAAAGCAGAACTTCTGCCAACAAAAGAGAACATATAATCAACCTCTATAGCTGTTTCTTAAACGCTCATAAACATAGGAGAAATATTGTATTATTTAAAGTGTTTATAAGACTGTAAATAGACCGACGCTGTTAACATAGATTCATAAGTATTGCTTGGAAAACTCCTCCTTAACTTCATTTTTGGAGGAACAGCGGGGGGAGGGCGCTTCTCATAGCAGGAATCTTTAACAAAAAAAACATGCTTCCTGACAATCTGCCAAGAGGGAGGCTTTCCTGGAAGCGGAGGCGGAGTCTACTCTCGTTTATAATGGCTCCTCGGCACCTAAGCTTCACAAGTAACTCACAGCACAGCAGGCAAGCACTCGGGCACATAGACACCGAGAAAAGTTATAAAAAAAGTCTGAAAATTGTTTCAAAGAAAAACGTTTGTATCATCCGGACAGACGCTGAACAGACATCTATCCATCGATTTGGAATTATTCTTAAAGAGCGAGTTTGGAGAAACATTAAAGGTAAGCAAATGTTTTTTTTCAATACTTATTAACAATGTTTATGATAATATTAATTATGTTTAGCATGTTTATCTAAGTGAGTTTGTTGTGGTGAAGCCAGTATGCCGTGTAGATTGCGCAATTAGGATTACCATGTCTTTACTGGAATTGACCTGAGTGTCGAGGGCAGATTACACAAAAAAAGTTTCCCCGAAATGCCTGTAATTTACATGGACTCAATTAAGTCAACACGCTGTTGAAACCATGACTCCTATTAAAAAAGACCCAAACAGGATCATCCAGTTTGGGTCTTTTATTTAAAGCAGACACAAAAAGTCTTGGCGTCTGGAGAAATGTCCCCATCCTTAATATGGATGTTTAAACGCATGATGAAGAGAGCTTGCACATCTGGAAAATAAAGGTTTCCAGAGCTGCCTGAGCTGAGGAGTGTCTCATCAGACCTAAACATGAATAGAACAGCTCAGGGTTCATATTGTATGTCAATGTTAAACTTTTGAATTGCATTTGAATGTTTAGTGTCACGTTTTCCACACTGAGCTCACATTTCCTCTCTTGTTTCCTTAGGTGTTTTGACAAACTGCCCTCCCACAACAACAACCCTCGGAGCCTCTTTTGGACCCTACCTCTTCTTCTCTTGTCTGTGTGGCACCCAGTGCTCCCCAGGCTGCCTAAAGAGCGGGCATAGCGCCATGGTAACTTACAGCAAGTTTGACTCCGCAATGAGCAGCAGCATCTTGGACTCCAGCATGCGGCTGCCTCAGCGTTTTAAAACGTTCACCTCCAAAACCCAGTATCAGATGGTCCTCGCCACACTTCACAAGCTGCAGGAGAGTGGCTTCTATTGGGGGGCCATCACCGGGAAGGAGGCCAATGCCATGCTGGCGGCTGAGACCACCGGCACCTTCCTCATCAGAGACAGCTCCGACAACCGGCACCTGTACGCCCTCAGTGTCAAAACGGCGTCAGGCACCAAGAACCTTCGGATCCAATGTGACTCTTCCTCTTTCTACCTGCAAACAGACCCTAAGAACATTCAGTCTGTTCCACACTTTGACTGTGTCCTCAAGCTGATCCACTTCTACATGCCTCAGAGCAAAGTGAATGCTCGCAGTGGGAATATGTACTACATTTACTCTGGAGGAGAGAAGATTCCTCTGGAGCTCATCAAACCTCTCTCCTGTAACCTATCCACCTTGCAGCACTTGTGCAGGAAAACAGTCAATGGACATTTGGACATTTCTTCTAAAAGAGACCAACTTCCTCATCCCATCAGGGAGTTCCTCCAGGAATATGAGGCTCCTATCTAAAGTGGACTGATGCTCTTGAAGGGGCAAAGACTAAAAAGGAACCATATGGTTTCAGTGCAGCTAGTAAAGACACACGCTGTGGAATTAAGCAGAGACAGTCAAGCCCACGTTCGCGCTTGTGAAAAGGAGCAGTTTATTGTACTGACAAGATGTGTGTTGGTCTCACAGAAAAGTGGGCAACAAAAGCCCAAGAGAAGAGAAGAGAAGAGAAGAGAAGAGAGAGCTGCTGTAATATTGTGGTATGAAAGAGAGTGAACCCTCACTGATGACATACATTTTACTGAAAACTGAGGTGAAGCTTACAGTCAGATGTCTACTGTCTGATGACACACAGGTTCCCTCTGCTGCTGCTTACCTAATGTGCTGTGAGGCTGTCGAGCTCACACACATCAGACTCAGAAAATCGGCCATCCATTAAAGCTGGACAGGCTCTTACGGTCAGGCTGTTTTTTGCTGACCTCGGATGATAATCTTGGACGTATTAGACACGTCCGTCAAGCATCCTGGCACCTCTGTCCAGCTTGGAAATTCCCAGACAATGGAAACTTAGCTGAGTGGACACTGATGGCTTCCTTGGTGCATATTTGTAACAGCCACCATGGAAAAATGACTTAAAGTATTCTAACAAGATGTGGAAAGAAGACATGTTTCTGATATTTTGTTTAGATGAAGGGTTTATGCCAAACTTGCCTGAACTAGACAACAGTTTGTTGTATTACAAACATGACTGAACCCTAGAGGATCTTACTTGAGAGAACAGTACTACTGCTTAATATGGCTTTAGTGCTGAAAAATGTATACCAAAATATGTGGAAGTATTTTTGGCACAAACAGCATTGCCATTGCTTGCAGATGAATGTATTTAAAATGGTATCTGTCTTTTCCCGTTAAGGAAAAGAGTCATAATGTATCTTATTTTCATGATTTAACATGAGTGAAGATTATTTTTCTTGTGCTGTCTTTTATAAAGATGTACTTTTGCCAGCCAAACCACTGGCTACGGATGCTTGAATATATTTGTTTGACGAAGCAAGCAGACTGATACAACTTTGCACTTATTTATATTTGTAAAAGAACATTTCATTAATTTATAATAAAAGAGCACTATTTTTCTATGAAATGAGATCTCATTGTTTGATTTTTTTTATGATCGCTGACATTTTTTCCACAGGCAGACTAAACTTACTGAGTGTAACATTCTACATGTTATATTCTTGGCTTTTTAGGATAAATTTAGTAAATGATAAATGGACTGTACTTATATAGCGCTTTATCCAGTCTTTAAGACCCCTCTGTCATTCACCCATTCACACAGAGCAGTGTACCTTACTCTAGGACCTAACATTCACACACATTCACACATCGTTGGCCATGCCATCGGGAGCAACTCAGGGTTAAGTATCTTGCCCAAGGATACATTGACATGTTGACTGCATGGGCTGGGATCGAACCCACAACCTTCTAGTTGAAAGACGACCACACTCCCTCACAGCCACAGTCGCCTTTGTGTAAAGAGCACATTAGGTTTCATTAATTTGCTACAGAGGTTAGGTCACAAGTTCATTTTGTTTTATGGTTTCCTCCTACATTTTTGAACGTCACTATCTTCACCTAAACCCCAGATTACAAACCACATCTCTAAATGACATAGCACATTTAGAGATACCCTAAACGCAAACAGATGTCATTATGTTATCATTTTAAGAGCGATATTTTTCTAATGAAAATATATGTTTTGTGAGAAACAATGCTATCTGATTAGATTTGCCTTCAAACAGAACACAAATATTTTTTTGGTAAGCTGATAACTTCTTCCTGTAACAAAGCAGTTGAACAGCTGCTTCACATGAAATACAGCGGAACTGTAAAATAACCTCCCTCTTCTAGGGAAGTATGAGCTGACTCCTTTGAATCAGCTGTGACTCAAAGGATTCTCTGTAGGTGTAAGCGTGACCTAACATGCCCTCACATGTAAATACATAATGATGTCTGCTTAAATCCTGTGTACAACTTCTCAGAAATGCCCCCGCCCTGTATACATGCAAACAGTACACACTCAATTAAAAATATGTCAACACCTGTGCTTCAGTACATAGGAATTCAATTCAAGCCCTGTGCTGCCAGCTTATGAGAACAAAGTGTTCCTAACGTGTCTGGTCTTCTGTCTGTTCACCTGCACATCGCATGACCTCAGACAAACTAACCGCAGCGCTTATCAAGAAATATGTCAAACCTCTCCCTCCCCCCAATTTGAGAATTATGGTAAGAATTATTTTTAGAACTACACATACACACTACACACCTGTGCTCAATGGCCCTCTTCAAGTGCCTTGTTGTATCTGTATGTGCGTGAGTGGTTTCAATATATAGTCTCTTTAACATCCGGAAAATAAAAAAACATTCTTTCTTTGTCATGTTTTATAAGACAAGAACATATTTTATTTGGTAATTTCTGTAACCAAACTGAAAACAGGAATGTCTGTTTGTGGGTTGATGGCCCTAAATGTATGGGTACACTGCAAATGTGAGCTATATGTGTCCTTTAACTAGTACTACGACAGTTGATTTGAAACATGATTTTATACATGTTTCAAAAGTCTATAAAAACCCAATGCACAACTTCAGTATGCTATCCCAAATAAAAAATAGGTCTAACAGAGGGTCTAACCTCCCTGATATTATTACTGCATGAAGTATACCATAAGAAAAACATAAGAAAAATATCATTCAGAATTTGGTGTAATAACAATGCTCTACATTTGTGTCTGTTAGACTGAATTGTGACGAAGGGACTGCTAATTAAATGATTTTGATTATGATTTATTATAAACTACCATCCCAGATAAGACATCTTTATGATAAATGCATGGACCCCTTATGTCTAAACGCTATATAACATTAATAGCCACTACAGCCAGGAACATGTACACATTTACGACAAACCGCTAAAATAATGGATGAACGGGAATTTGCAATAACCTCCACGTCCAACATAATTACAGGAATCAGCCCCTGCTCCACCTGCTTCCATGGCACTTTATTGTTTCCTCCCCGCCTAAGGGGCTCAGTGCACAGGGTTCACAGACATGAGGGGTCTCTGAGGTGATTTGTGCTCTGTAAGTCGTACAGAAAACGGTATTACTCTTCTCACTGATGTCCTAATTTGAAACAAACATGGTTCTCCTGAAGTATATGGGCCCCATAGCGTAATGAATGCCTCATACTTTCTGAGAAATGATTTGCCTTCCATGTAAAACAGGAAATACCCCCACCCGGATTATTCAACAACTAAACAATCAGAGAATAATGGAAACATGATGAACTGCATGTTCTCCTGTTGAACTTCTTTACAGGGGATGATAGCAGAATATGACTGGAAGTTCTGAGTGGATGTCTTTGTGTATATTAGTACCAAATATTAGCAGGCTGTTGCAAAAATGCAGAACAAGAATAACATCACTTCACTCCCGATTCCCTGTTAGTCTGAACTCCAACTAACACACAAGGGAGATACATGGACTATAGCACAAGAAAACATGTGCATGCTTCTGTAAAGTCTATTATGGGTTTAGTGTTTTAGTGGTTTAGTTATCTCAATTTTAGTATTGTTCTAATATTGAATGAGAAGTATAAATACCTTTTCATTTATGCATTAAGTGCCTTCAAAACCAGTGGAAACCAGTCTAACCTTTAGGGGAGGGCTATTAAAAGCATGCAGGCTGGCTCAGGAGAAATTCTCTGGTAGTCTGTGGTCATGTGGTTCCAGAGAATAGCTCACACAGAGTCAGAGCACTGAGCATGCAAGCCTGATACTATTTTGACATTGTGTGCAAGCTTCCACTTCAGGCTTTTCTCAATAAATATTAACGTGTTGTTCACAGCTGTTCTCAAATACAGCCAAACAGTTTGCACAAAATACAGAACAGGTGAAAATGATAGCATTCCTAGTCACTCATTACACTGCATTAAGTTTTCCATTTGTTAAAAGACATTTTGAGGCTCACTGGAACCTTTTGTATGTATTTCATGTAGATAGCTTTAAAGCATTTATATTGGGCTAGTTTTTGGCTACAACGCGCAAAATACACTTATTGTTCTTGTTTCTGGTTATTATCATTCTTAACAATTCACGTTAAGCCTTATTTTGCAAAACAGGAGACCGTTTTTATTAATTGTAGGATAAATACATTTTAATCATTTTAAATATTGCATTTTTTTTTTAAAGTAATGTTTGTACAAATCAGACACCAGCTGTTTACAAATGTACCAATTTCCCAGCAGAAATGTCCCAGAACTTAGATGGATTTATTATAATACAAAAAGGTGGTTAGATGTAATTTTAGATTTATAAAAAATACAAACAGCCAAGTTTGAACATACATTTACACCAGCCTCTTGTTTGTATTATCAGGACGTGGGATTTTATGGGCTTAAGTATTGCTAGGTCGACATCCCACATTATTAAAGTGTACACTTACACAAACAGCAAATAAACAAACATGATTAATACTCACAAACATGGTTATACACATGGATTTGAATTTGGCCATGTGATGTGTCTTTAAAACTATATTAATGATATGTAAAAAGCTTGTTCCACTTATATTTCATCCTATGTATGCACTCTGGCACCAAAGCACAATAAAGATAAAATGTTCGTAGGATGATTGGACTGAACTTTAGTCTTATACTGTATTCATGAGAAAGCATAATTTAAAGATACCCCCAACAAGGACAGAAGTCACTGTAAATGGTCAGGTAACTTTGCATAGTCTGATAATACAATTATATTCAAAACACTTCCAGTTAAGTTTTGATTCCAAGCATGTGACTGGAACATTTCCATAGACATACGTTTTTGCATCGCTGAGGTAGCCTCTCTCCCATGAGGTTTTGACAGGATGCCTGTCTATCAAGACTCGGAAGTTAAGTCTTGCATGATTTTATTATCTAAAGACAGACATAATTATATAAAAAAAGAGACAAAACAGACAAGCAAGGGCTCCTGATATCACTGTGGGTCATTTTTAGCATTGTTTCTAGCATTAGAATATGGCAGAGCTAATGTCAGATAATCAGCAGCAGATATGTTCCTTTTGAATGGCTTGTTTTCTCTTTATTAGATATAGAGGACAGATAGACAGGAAAGGGGAAGAGGAGGAGGAAGAGAAGACATTCAGTAAACGGCCATGGGTCGGATCCGGTCGGATCTGGTCGGATCTGAACTCGATGCGGTATAAGGACTTGACCCTGGAACATGTGGCACCAGCAGGCAAGCCACCTGCACCCCATGAATAATCTTTAAGAGATTTCTGGACCATCCCCACCGAAATCCAGCCTCACAGTTTCTGAATAAAAGTGCAGACGGTCTGATGTTTATCTTTTTTATAAAGGAACTGGTTTTTCTGAGGGAACTACAGAGAGAGTTTGAATTGTTAGTTCCTCAGTGAACTGGGCTACCGTTGTGTGTAGGTATTGTCATTTTTCCAACTCCCAAATATTTGTTTTGCAAATAATGAGAAAGGTTGCCTCTTACTGAAAATGAATCCAGTTTAATTCTACACCATATAGCTGCAATGTAATATTTACATTAATATATTCTGCAATATAGGGGAAGTAGGACTATTATATTACTATACAATACACTAAAATACCATTGTTGTGAAAATACTGAATGTACTCTTCCAATATCAGAGTAGCACATGATAACAAAGGCCCTACGCAGCTGTGTACGTAACAGGAGGTATGATTACCTAGAAGAGCATCAGGAGTCAGGACACACTGTTTTAGGTATATAGCTGTGACAACGATTAACATGATGATTCAGCCTCTATGGAGATAGACATATGACAAGCATGATCATTTCTGACGTGGGCCTTAGCTAATCTAAACTAAACATTGTATACTGCTTTGAACCGGTATTCCTCCATCTTGAAGTGTAACACCCTCTCTTGTATATGGACATGTGAAGGACACTGTTCAGGAACTAGTTGTACCATATGCTCTGTATGTGATGACTACTTCCATTCTTGCAAGGATTAATAAATACATGTATTCTGATATTGAACCTCAAGCCTTTGACGAGTGATATTTTTCAAGCATGGGTACCATTTTACAATA